TGTACAATCTGGTATACGATTAAGATCATTCACTAATTCGTTTAAAAGAAAATAATTTCATTCATACTTCGACGCTTATACATCTACTGAATGTCAAACCACCATATTTGTAGGGTTCGAACGATACTTTCGATACCGAGTAGGTATCGATACTTTCAAAAGCGATACTCGATACTGAGTACTTGATACTACAACAAGGTAAATACTCGCAAGTACTCATCAATTTTGAAAAATCTCACGTGAGATCGGTGGATGGGGGAGGGGTTTGAATAAAATCTCACGATATCTCACCAGGAGGGGAGGGAGGGACAGAAAATTTAAAAAACACCTCACGTAATTTATGAACGCCCCCTTACCTGCTGCCACGGCATTACACAGGTTTCATAATATTTCACTTATTCTATTTTTCTAAAGCAATATGTATATTTTTACGATAACAATTACTTATATGTTATTTATTATATTAGTATGTTGTAAGGCGATTCCCCATTATTATTTTTTTACTTAAGTAATTTCTCTAAAGCAATATGTATCGAAGGTTTTGCGATAATGGACCCGCAAAAAGAGTGCCATCCATTTGTATCAAATTTAAGACAATATAACATGCATGGCATACTCTTTTTTGTATCGTATAACAGCTTACATATATTTTTTTGGCATAATAATTAATGATCATGTTAAAGTGTAGCATCCTAATGCATAAAGGTCGTTGCTCAGGGTCCATATATAGGCAGCCCCAGAGCCAACAGAAATAAAAAAATGATTGCGTTATAACGAATCACTGATAAATTATCACAACCCATTTATTATACGACGGACAAGATTAAGAACTATATTAACTTGCAAAATATATTTGATATCGAGTTTATAATTTGTAAAGTTAATGTAGCATGTTTTCAGTGTGTAAAGTGGATAATATTAACTTTTCTTCTTAATCAGTTCTTCTTAAAGTTTAAAATATTATTATGTGGATCGCCTTAACAGTTTATTAATGATAATTGATAATGTTTTGTTTAGATTAAAAGTAATGTTTAGATATGAGAAATAACAAGAGATGGCGCTCTAATTATGTAATGCTTATCGTTGATATTTGTCGACGGATAAAAAGTAACATAATAATAAATAGAACCGACTTCAAAGTAAGACAGTTCTTTTTTTAAGTTATAATATTATATTGATATTTTTATACCTATATAAAAAGTAACACTAAAATTACTTTTCTGAAAACCACGTCAAAACCGTGTTAAAGTGCGAACCTCCATTTTTTTCATCTGTTAATATACATAAAACCTCCTAAGTCTGACAAATACTATGCTGAAAATTAAAATGGGACTACACTGGAATCACCAGCTTTCAAATAAAACAAAAAAAAACAATAGGATCGTTTCACCCTGTAAAAAGTTTTGAGGGAACAAACATCACGGATTCTTAATGCAAATTTAAGACTTATATACTTTTCTCATAGATGCCAAGCCAGATCTGGACCAAATTGAAGTGGGAAGCGGCAAGCACTAGCTTTCAAATAAAAAAAGAATCATCGAAATCGGTCCACCCACCCAGTAAAAAGTTATGAGGTAGCAGACAAATAGAAAAATACAGTCTAATTGAGAACCTCCCCTTTTTTAAGTCGGTTAAAAACACTGACTTTTTTGGTTTTAACGATTAAATAACGTCCTTCTGAGTCAATAGAACAGTGGATCTTAACACCTCATGAATGTCTATTGATTGACAATGTTTCTTCAAAGCCACCAAAAGGCGCCATAAAAGTGCGCGTTCACAAAATGACTCGTGTTTTGTAGATTATTAAAAAAATTAATTAAAGAAAATAGTCCTATATAAACCTATAAGATGTCTATGGATTTTCAAATTTCATATTTGTGTGGAACCCTCTGCGCACGAGCTAGACTCGCTCTTGTCGTTCTTTTATACAAAGTTTTGCGATTTGATTTTGTTAGTAAAAAGAGATACTATTATAACTAGGCGTGTTAACAGTGCCTTATCCGAGGAATTATAACGAACTGAGACACGTGGCTGATAGTGTGACCAGTGAATACGGCGACTTCACCACGTATCTCACATACTTGACGTTTGATTTGGCAGTAGGTACAGTAGAAATAAGACATATCGGATTTCTATTATGTTATAAATTGAGGAGCTCAATGACACGGTGGTTAGCGCGTTCTTTTGCATGCAGAAGTTAAGAAATTTTCGTTATGGCCGGTAATAGGATGGGTAACCAAAATATATCATCTCGAGCTCATGCACGGAGGACCGTACATGTGCTCCGTGCATCTGATCTGATCATCTCAAGACCAATTCTGTCTCTTCAATTTGGTTCTATTGTATCCAAAGGGAAGGTTTATTCCCCAGCAGTTGCGACATTAATAGGCTAACGATGATGGATATCTATTGTCAACCGTTTTCAAATAATTAGGTATCTATCAATTTCTTGAATAATTTGTTATTTTTATGTATGTTTTACACAATATTTCGGATCGATTTTGATGAATAATTGGGTATATTGCCATAAAAAACTTACTAAGATGGAAGCAGTCAACTTTGCTACCTAATGTGTGTCACTAATGCAAAACAATTACATTGCTTTCTTATCTTGAACTAAAATTAATGTTATCTTATACAACGTGTTCGGTGGTTTGCTTACATTAGGTAATTGTAATCAAAATTTTTTTCCTCAGTGCCCCATTAGATACACACCGACCTTTCAACCGCCTTTCCTTTTTCGATGTTATATTTATTATCCATTTTTTATAATGGTTATTTCTTAAGTTTTCACAGTTAGTTTATTGCAATAAGGAAAAGTCTCATGCCAGTGCTTGACTTTAGGCTCAATAAAATTATATTTAAAAAAAAAAATAAAAAAATAAATAATTTCTTTATTTTCAAAAAGAGATTGTAGTAGGTACATACTTAACAATAGCAATAGACAAATAACCAATTATTACAATCTAAGTGGATGAAGTACTGCTACCCTTGATAGGTTATATAATAACCTGTAGTAAGGTATAACAGTCCCTTTCCCTTTGGATTTACATTAGTTAATGTTATACATATGCAAGTTGCGTTTTTTTTTTTTTTTTTACAATTAAGCATGCAAGTGTTAGTATTGTGTTTGTGTGTGTGTGTAAACACACACACACACAAACACAATGTGTGTGTGTGAGATTGTGTCTGGGTTCATATGTCAGGGTGCAGATGATATAAGTTATAACATAAGATCCTCTGTTTCAGCGTAGGTTTTATTTTGGAGATAGTTTTGGAGTCTTTTTTTGCATATGTAGTGTGATGAGCCATATATTGAGCAGTTCAGGCTGATTTTATTATATAGATATGGGCCCAAGTAGTAAAAAAATTTTTTTGTGGAAGATGTGCGTGGTTTTGGTACGGTGCATATTTTGTCTTTACGACGTTTGCTTATTTCTTTATATGGAGTGTTTTTGTGTTGTAATAGTACCGTGTGGAGTATAAAGAGTTGTCGCACATTTAGAACACCACAATCTTTATATAGTGTATTGGTTGGGAACATTATATGTCTAAATGTTGCTACTTTCAGGACAGCTCTGTGTGCTACTTCTAGTGGATTCATAAATGTTTTTGGTGCACCACCCCAGCAAGATATACAGTAAGTTACAATTGAAAGACAAAGGGCATAGTATACGTTGCGGATGACAGTTTGGTTTGCTACGTGTCGTAAAGTTTTAAATATATGTATGAGTTTCCGAACACGGCATACAAGTAAATTTATATGTAGTCTGAAGGTTAGACATTGGTCTAAGACCACTCCTAAATATTTAATGTTGTCAACATGTACTAGTGTGGGACAGTTACAGGACATTTGGGATGGATTGATGCAGAGATGAGATTTTAATGTAATTGGAGATTTGGGTTGTGATATTGAACTAATTGAGAAGGTGATGTATTTAGTTTTATATATATTGAGTGTCAGGGTATGTGATTGAAGCCAGGTTGATATCAGATTAAAGGCATTCTGTGCCTTGCGTTCTAGATCTGACCATGCATCAGCAACGATAGTTATAGCTGTGTCATCAGCGTAGCATGTAGTTATAGCATTTGGTATCTTTAACTTACACAGACCATCTATAAATATGAGAAATAGAGTAGGACCGATTATACTGCCCTGGGGTACACCGTATTGGATGGGTAATTCACTACTAGTGTGGCCATCAATTATAACCATTTGTGAGCGATCTGTGAGATAACTTTGAAGTAGCTTTAATGGGGGTCCTCTGACACCTATTTGTTCAAGTTTTAGTATGAGGGTGGATAGAGGAATCGTATCAAACGCCTTTGTAAGGTCTATAAATATTGATAAAACTTTTTTATTATCATTTAGATTCTGAACGATAAAGTTCGTTAGTTCGTGGATAGCGTCAGCAGTAGATTTCTTCGGGCGGAAACCATACTGTTGAGCTGATAGCAGATTATAACGTTCCAGGTATGAAACAAGTCTTTTATTAATTAACCGTTCGAATACCTTCGATAAGGAACTTAGCACCGCAATAGGGCGATAGTTGTTCGTCAGGCTCGCGTCACCTCCTTTAAAGATAGGATGGATTATAGCTTTCTTAAAAGCGTTTGGAAAGACAGCGGTGTCGATGCAAAGGTTAAATAAGTAGCTTAGGATAGGTGCCAGGAAAAATGTGTATCGCTGTAAGATGTACGGTGAGACACCGTCCCATCCAGTGGAAGCATTTGCACGAAGTGAGTGCAAAGTCGATATTATTTCATCATGGTCAGTGTAAGCTAAGACGAATGAAGAACAAGGTGTTGAATTCTGAACAGATTGTGCGATGGTGGTTTGTTGTGATGACTGGTGTTTTGTTATGTTGTCTGCGAGATTTTTACCAATATTAGCGAAAAAATAATTAACGTCATTACATGCCTGAAGATATGAAGATGAGGTTTTAAGTAGTTGTGTGGAGGTGTTTTTAACTTTCGTGGTGTTAGTTATTTTCTTTATTGTGTCCCATAGTAATTTTGGATTATTAGTGGCTTTTTGTATTTGTTGTGCATCATAGCGTCTCTTAGTTTTTTTAAGAATACTGGTACAGAAGTTTCTATATCGCTTATAAGTAATAGTCAAGATTTCATTGGTTGGACTTTGTTTTACTTTTTTGTGTAGCGCATCCCTGTGTTTTATACATCTTAGTAGTCCGGGAGTAATCCACGGTTTGAGTATTTTCTTTTGTGATGGAACTTTTTTGACTGTAGTATGTTTGTTAATAGCTAATCTTAATAGTTTTGTAAGCTCGTCGGCTAGCGTATTCGAATCTGTTACCGCAAAAAGTGGGGTAAAGTCTATTTTAGATATTGTATTGTCGAGTGCTTCGTAATCGATCTTACTGACGGAGGACGTGACCATTTGCCTAATCCTATGATAATTCACACAAAACATGGTAGAATAATGGTCGGTAATGGTGGATTCATATACAAATGTTAGTGTAGGGGACTTTGTTCTTATGACGATATGGTCTAAGCAGTTGTTACCTCTAGTAGGAAGGGTGTGAGCAGGGAGGAAACCATTAAAAGCGAGACATTTAAGTAATCGTTTGAACGAGTGTCGTTAGTGTTAAGTTTAATATCGATATTGAGATCACCTGTTATTGCTACTTTTTTAAAGGAAGTTAGTGTTGAAAGTAGGCTATTGAGGGCTAATAAGAAATTGTTAATGTTTTCAGTCGAGGGTGATCTGTATATGGCGATTACTGCTAAGTCGGAATTTATTTTAATAACGATTCCAGAAGCTGCTTGATTGAAGTTGAGCTCATCACAGATGGCTGTGAGTCCTGCCCTAATGTATACCACCACTCCGTCGCTTTGGTTAATATGGTTAGTGGTCTTGCACATAGTATAGTTTTGTAGCGTCGGAATGATAGAATTACAAGCACAGGACAACCAGCATTCAGTTAAAATGACCAAGTCAGAGTCAAATGGAATACGATGCATAAAAGTTTGTAAGCTTAGAAAGTTACAGTTTATTGATCTGATATTCTGAGTAAAGATTTTAATAAATTTATTTGGTGTGGTCAAAATTGCTGTGGTTTGTTCAGGGGCGCAGATGTGTACTTTTGAAGGCGAGAGTTGATCAATGCTCTCTATTAGGTCATTAATTTGTATCGTCATGGTTGTAGGTCTTTTGTTTTCCTAGAAGGGGTGATCAGATTAATTGTACAACAGAAGTCGGTGCACGGATTATACATTAAGTGAAGTAAATTGACTAGAGACTGTAAAATTAAGGATTTACTATGAGAGCGAAAACTCGGTGACATGACGGGGTTTTGTATATTGAGATATATGCGTGTATATTTAAAGTTGTGCAGTTGGTGATGCGGTTTTCTGTGAAAGTTATTATGTATGTGTATATGTGTTGTATGAGTGCTTATTCTAAGCATGTTAGTAAAAAAGATAAAATAGGTAAACAAAAGGATAATTATGTAAGTAGAGTTATTATAATTAATATTCAGCGTTCGTAGTCATGCTTTGCTTGGTTGAGGTAAATGCTTCAGTTGTTGTTCATCATTAATAATGATTGTCTGAGTATCCGTATCCTTTTTTAACATTATCCGGCCGTTCGATGTCCAGCAGAACCTATATTCGTTGGTTTTTGCGTATGCTCTCGTGAGATAAAATAATCTTTTTGCTTGCGTAGTCAAAAGTTCTGTAACGTAAATTGGTGATTCTCGAGTAGTTGTTATATCCAAGTGAGTAGAGTTTACCTTGCTTTTAGGGTTTTGCTTATTGAATTGTTTGACTGCGCTTAGAAAATTGGTTTTCAATAGTGTGTTTGAGAATTCTAATGTAATGTTTGATGTTAGGTTTTCTTTTTTCGAAGGCTGCCTTGTTATGTCACGGATATGGATTTGTTCCATTTCTATATTAAGCTGTTTTGAGAAATGTTTAATGGTATCGTACAGCATAGACTTAGTTTCACCCAGTCTCTTAGGTACGTTTCGAATTTCTACCGAAGTTTTAGTTAAATTGCGATTATGTATTTCCGTTTGTTGCTCTAGCATTGATAATTTGGTTGACATCGCATTTCTTTCTTTTTCTAACCCTGAAATCTTGCTGTCTAGAGATGATATCTTGTCAGAAATAAATGACATTGACTTTTCAAGTTCCGTATTCACTGTTTTGATGTCAGCATAATGACTTTTAATCTCCAAAATATGATTTTCTAATTTGTCTAGTCGGCCATTGTGTATACTAAGTAGTTCTTTAATCATGTCTTTAATCTCTTTTTTAAAGTTTGCAAATTCATCGTTGTCACTCGCATTCTGTTGAATATTTGAGACCTCCCCTGATAGACATTTACGCTTTGCTCTTTGGGTAATATTTAATTTCACGGTTTCTTCAGCAACCAGTTGTTGAATATCTGATTCAGATTTAGATGGTGTTTTTTGTTTGGGTGGCGTCCGGAGTAATGTTCGTGGCATAGTTCTTGAAGGTTAAGTTGAAAAAATCCGAAATTTTTGACTTGGGACACACTTAAAAAAAAAAAAAAATAAATTACCCGCTCTCGCTGTCGCTTGTGGACTATGGCAAGCGTCGAAGGGGACGTCACGAAGTGCGCGCGAGTGACATAGCGAGCCCGCTGCTTCCGTCTCGGTTGTTGTTCTCTCGCTCTCACTCGCGGTCGGCGTTCCACAGCACTCCGCTTACACTAACTATGTTATGCGCGCCTGGTACTTCGCGAAATTTTTAAACTGATTTAATTTAGCCAAAATTTGTTTTTTACAAAAACACTGAGTGCACGTCTGTTCGCTTTCGCGGTCCAGAGGGAAGAGAAGATTTTATAACTTTATGGTAAAGTTTAAAAAAACTCTGAAATATGACGTAATAACACTTCCTTATGATTAGGGAAAAATGCAATGACGATTTTTCCGACACAAAGTAACAATAGACAGAGTAATGAATGAATGGTCTCGTAAGATAAAGAGTTGTGACTCATCATTCAATTTTGATTAATCATCACGTCTGAAGGACTAGCGGTTGCATTGGAAAACTAGACTAAGCAACACATTCACGTTCAAGATATGTATACCATAAAATATAATCGTAACATAATACAGACTCTATAGCATAATCTCAAAAACTTGACACTTTATAATAATTTAATGTCTATAGTAATTAGAAAAAGAATATCGCAAACTGCTTTACCGGCCAGGATCGAAATGAGAAAGTAAGCCCTAAATTAAAACAACTTTAATCTACACTCAAATTGAAATATTCGAATTACGAATTCAAAGACGATTCTATACATACGCACTTTATAAACGCATACACATAAAATTAAAAATAAAACTCATTGTAGTACCGCCAACTGTATCATAAAACTCATTATAGGACCGCTTTCTTCAATGATATTAATATGTCTAGATACGCAATACATACCAAAAATCTGAAGCTACTAAAACTAAGACGTTTGTCTTAGTTTTTTCGTTTTTCACTTCATTACTCATTCAACTCCCGCCAAGAAAGTACAAAAAAATGCTCCGCAAAAAAAAAGAAAAACAGTAGATAAAATACGATTCTCTTTCACAAATACACATAATACGAAAGAATATTAAGATTCACACTTAAATCATTAACATTTTTGGCAATAAATACAAAATTAAAGCTAGGTTATAAAATAAAAATATTTAATTTTCATAAATAAAATTTCGACATTTTGTCGTCAGTGTTGCCACTGCTATTCACTTTCAGTTTTCCCAAGTATATGGGAGCCTTTTCTTTTTATTTAACGTGGCTATAATTTATCTAAATATCTTTTTATAATTAATTATATAGCTCAGCTGAAGTATAGGCAACTGCGCTTATTGTGTTGATATTTTTTTTATACACGCACACAGATACTAATGTGATATAATTTTTTCAATGCGTGGAATTCGTTAGTTATCGAGATACAACTTTTGAAAATACGTAAAATAGAACCTTGTTTGATGTTTTATGAACTTTGATAAATGTTTTTGTCTTAACTACTGACTTTATCGAAAAACAAAGGGATATATATGCACAGAGCCTACTTTCGTGATTGGTTTTTTATTTCAAAGTTTTTTCAAAGAAATTTTCAAAGTTACAGTATTTTACTAATTGATCTTATACATATATCTACACTACTCGTTCATTCATTCATTCATCACAATGGGTGAAATTTTCGACAGCTGGCAATACAATATCAATTACCCATTTTTTCGTTCATTCTGTCGTTCGCACATATTCTATCTTTGTTTAATTTAAAGTTTAATCGTAGATATGAGGGAGGCAAATATAATAAATCTATATATAATATATAGTATAAATATTATTTGCAAAGCTACGTCTTGATTTCGGAAAAGTGCTACGCTTTTTGGCGCGTCTGTTGTATGGGATTGCTTCTCTAGTTATTAAACTCATTGGCTTTCTTTTTTATTCATTAAACTAATCTGTGGTTAGGCTGAATATGAAAAAAAAGGCGCACGCATGCGAAGTTCGAACTGTGAAAATAATGGCGCATTCATAAATTACCTACTTTGTTTAATTTCAATTTTTCCTATGAGTGAAGATAAAGTAGTGTATGAAACTGCATATAACTTAGGTATTAAAACACTCGAGTCAACCTATTATCATATATACAGACTCACAGACTCTCGTGTTTTAATACCCCTTCTTATAACACAGTTGCATAAACTACTATTAATAGGTTGCATCGAGTGTATTTTTGGAATAATACTATATTTTCAAACATTTGGTTACTTTTCATTATTTGTGTTCACTAGACTGATATATTAGTTATTTTCTTACATGCGATAAAACCGTTCAAACATCGTTTAATTTAATGAGTAGTGTGCGTGAAATATAAAAAACAAGTATGTTCTAAGCCTTATTAACGAAAATTGTCACGCATAATTCACAATCTGAATTAAATTAATAAAACATAGTCGGATAGAGCTCCTAGAAGAAAAGAGCTTTAATGGAAAATAAGACGATACCTGCGGAGGCGAATTTAATAAAATTCTATAATAACAATTAGTCATAACGTTAGGGCGCTTGTGCACTACACTGAATTTTCAGGTCCGGCGGTCCGATTTTTTCCGGTCCGGAATGACATGAAAAACTCGGATGAGTAGCTTGTGCACTTGTCCGTTTTTTTCCTGATCGGAGCGGCGCAGTGTAGGGCAGCTCTCTTTGAAGCTACACGTCACTTATGCTAGATACGATGAGATTTTTGGAACGTTGGTAATTCCGTTCGAAGACGTAGAAAGATACCTAAATAATGATCTGATCGTTTTACATAAACCATAATAAATTATGGCAAGACGAAAGCATTTTTTTTACTACTATCGGATGACTACTATCAGATGTAAAAACTTATACCCTTACTAATTTAGGAACAGCATTATTCACATACAATAGCTAAAAATATCTGACATTAGAATAAAATTACTGTACTCTAGTACTTGATGTTTAAATTTTTAAATGTGCTATTTTTTTTCGAAGTTTTGTAAAAACAACTTTCAGCGATTACAGAGATAGACCAATCAGTGGCGCCATTTCGTAAACAAATCAAAATTGATGCCGTGTTAGCGGAGAATTATTATGCTAAATGAACTTTACGAGATCAGTTGACTGTATTATATATAGGCATAATTTTATACGCGTGGTGTAGTTTCTTTGAGCAGAAATATTATTCCCTTAGAATACTTTTTCTTTTTTAATTATCAATGGCACAAAAATACATTTAAAATTTTATTAAATGCGAAAAAGACATTGAGTGTCACTTAATTACTTTTGTTAATCTTCTGTTTATTCTTTATTATTACTTCTGTTGTCAAATATTTATCTATACTTATCAATTGTTTAAAAAAAATTTGATAATGACAAATTTCCAGGCAAACTTTCATCCCCTATTTTTCGCAATAAAATGTAGCCTATGTCTACATTAAGATTTTTTTCATGTATATAAAAATTTGATAATGACAAATTTCCAGGCAAACTTTCATCCCCTTTTTCGCAATAAAATGTAGCCTAAATTAATATAGCAAATAGACTTAACTTTAAGAAAGGTCTTAAAGTTAAGTCGATTTACTATATTAATTTCCATTAAGATGGGTTCAGTTGTCTAAACGTAACAACACTTATTTATCTTACTTAAGCTATCGAAACTTTTAATACGATTCTAAAATCTAGCTAAGTATCGATACTAGAACCATATGCTGATCAAATTAGAACTATACCGAGTTTTCCAAAGCATATGCAGTGATATATACCAACTATATTAAATCGTCATATAAAATATAGCATTTTATAATTAACAATAAATATCGATTATACTCGTAAGTTTATTGGAAATTAACAATATTGCCGAAATAAATATCGATTATTTTTTCCCAAGCCTATTGCCGAAATAAATATCGATTCAAATCGATTATTTTTTCCCAAGCCTATTCCTTATGAATTTTCCGGATCTCGGACACAGCAGTGCACAAGCGTAAACACGTTTTTCATTGCCGCCATCACGGACCTGAAAAAACCGGTCCGGAATAGAGAAAAGTAAAATTCCGGACGGTAAAATTCCTGACAGTGCACAAGCGCGCATTACCTACATATGGCCTGACATATCGGACCTGAAAAAATCGGACCGCCGGACATGAAAATTCAGTGTAGTGCACAAGCGCCCTTAGCATGTTATAGCCTTCCTCAATAAATTGACTATTCAACACAAAAAGAATTTTCCAATTCGGACCAGGAGTTCCTGAGAATAACGCGTTCAACCAAACAAATAAACACTTCAGCTTTATAATTTTCATAAGTATAGATACGAAACCAGTTGAAAACTGGTGATTCAGGGTGTCAGTAAGACTTGCATACACTATCTACCGATTCAGTATTATTATTATTATCCAAGACAGGCAGACAGTTACAACAACTGATGGTAGCTGCAAATGTAAGTACCTGAAGGTACAAACATTTGACAAAATAAATATGTACAATACGAGTGTTTGAGTCAATATTATGGTTGATTTGCTTATTTACATCTAACGTTCAAGCACAAAATGGATATTTTATGATTCAAGTCACACAATCAAGACTTATCGTGGTACGCTCTTTTCTATTCGTATTCATATTTTTTTTTACAAAAACTAAGAAATAATACTTATCTTTAAAGAGGTTTAAGTATTCAAGAAACTTCTATTGAATTCGGGCGAAGGTTTCTGTATTAAATGATAACCGCCAGACTTTATCGACGCTCGTGACGTACTAGTAGAAAACTAGTCTAGGATAAAATATTTGGACTGATATGTACGAAAAAAATAACCATATGCTTGTATATCGTCGAACCCTGCAGGTAAATACATTTTTATTTAAATAATGTCAAACAATAATTTGTTCTGTGTTTATGTAATTATATTAAGAGGCATAAAACCATAAGTCACGGATCGGCACACATCTAATAGGTAGGTTTACAAACTGTAGTCGGATCGTGCACGTGGTGTTGCAAGTGACCGCGACAGAACACAACACGTATCGGAAATATGCCTAGTCTATAATAACCTGTAGTTCAAATGGTGAGGAATAAAAACTATTGTTTGAGTTATCATGAAAAAGCGACTTATTCAAGAAAATCCGATTAAGGTCGGGCTGAGGTTTTCTGTAAGTTATTAATTAAATAATAGGCACCCGACGTCAATAGTTAATTTTTATAGTCGATTAAATTATACATAAAACCTACTCCTAAGTCTGTCAACTACTATGCTGAAAACCACATCAGTCGGTTCATCCAAACGCGAGGTAATCGCGCATCAACATACATATGTACTGTATGTACATACAGGTCAAACTGAGAACTTTCTTTTTTGAAATTTGTTAAAAACGAGACCCTATTACTAAGACTGCGCTGTCCGTCTGTCACCAGGCTATTAATTTTCACAAATGATGTATTTCTGTTGACGC